CTTTGATTTTGTCACTCTCCAATGTCAGATCTTCGACTGTATGTTTCCCCACTGAGAGGTATTTGCATTTTTGTAAGTTCATTGTCTTCGTACGCTGTTTGTAGTTTCCTAACCATATAGCTGAGATCGTCTATATCTTCTGCTACCACCAGTTGGTCATCAGCGAAGAATAGTTTATAGAGAATATCCTCGTTTATTTGTATTCCCATATTTCTGCATTGTCTTTGCCACTTTTGTAGAGATCGATCCAGATATATTTTAAACAGCGTAGGTAATAAACAACATCCCTGTCGTAGCCCTTTCGTAGTTTTGAATTTCTCACTAAGTTTGCCACCTATTTTAATGGATACGGTGTTGTTTACATATCACTTTTGAGTTGCTATTATTAACGAAGGTTTTATTTCCATGTTTTGCATTTCACTCCATAAATTATTTATCGGCACGTTATCATATGCCTTTTCAAGATCTATCAGGGCTATATGTGTTTCTTTGTTTCTTTGTTGTCGCTTTTCGATTAATATTTTAAGTGTAAATAGATTATCTATAGTCGATCTTCCAGCTCTGAATCCGCATTGTTCTTCTGGTTGTTTCTTCTTCGGTCTTCTTCTATGAGGTTTCTAAGTATTCGGGAGTACAGTCGTCCTATAGTGGAGATGACAGCACTTCCTCTATAGTTTCTGACATTGTTTCGTGCTCCTTTTTTGTATATTGGGGTTATATAGGCCTCACGCCATTTTAACGGGGTCTCTTCTCCATTCAGGCATCGTTGGAACAGATCTTTGAGCATTTCCCACAGTTTAGCTGAGCCGTATTTAATAAATTCTGGTGAGATGTTTCCTGGGCCTGGCGCTTTTTTAAGTTTAAAAGATCTTATCGCTTCTACGATATTTGTCATGTTTAATTCAATGAATTCTGTCGTCCTTCTTGTAGTAACTGTTTAAAGTATTCTACCCAGTCTTTTTCTGTTATGTTACTTAAATCTAATTTATTGTTGGTTGACGTTTTCATAGAATTTAGCGTTCTCCAGGCTTCTGAACTTTTCGAATCTCCAATCATTTGTTCTATGTATTCGCATTTCTTTTCCCAAGATCTATTTTTCCTTTTTGTTACTTCCGTCTTCGCCAGTTTTTTTAGGTTTTTATATATTTCTTTAGAGGGGTCGTCTTTTTTATCTAGATATGTTAGGTATGCTTCTTTTTTCTTCTTTATCATTTCATCTATTCCCTTATCCCACCAATATGGATTTTGTTTTGTGCGTCTTTGAGTGCCTATTGCCTCTTCTGCTGCTTCTTTAATACTGTGTACTATGTGCTTGTATTCTTCTTCTATTGTTCTATTTTCTATTACCAGTTTTCCATCTAACCTTCTTTGGTATAAATACTGCATGCTGTTATCTTCTAGACTTTGTAGATTATAGTGCTCTTTATTTGTTGTTACGTTCTTATTTACATTTGCTGTTTCGTATTTTCCCAATCTCAGTATGGTCATATTTCCGATTACTAGGTAATGATCACTTCCACAGTCAGCTCCTCTCTTTACCCTAACGTCTAAAACTGTTAGTGTTGGTTTTTGTCTCATAATATAGTCGATGATGGATTATATCTTTGTCTGCATAGAAGGTGTTTGTGATTCTTAAATTGTATTGTTCGCACAGATCTATCAGTCTTTCGCCATTATTATTTCTTGTAGGTTCTCCATGTCGTCCTACTACTGCACTGTTTTCTTCTTGGCCTACTCTACTGTTAAAATCACCTGCCATAATGATTTCGCATCGGTTAGGGATTTGATCTAACACATCTCTTAAAATTGCGTCAAAATAGTCTTTTACCGCTACTGTTTCGTCTTCATTTGGAGCATAAATTCCTATAACCACTATAGTTCGTCCTTTCATTTGAAGGGTCATTTTGATTATACGTTCATTAATACTCTCCCATGACTTTATTTGTTGTTTCAGTTTTTCGTGAATAATTATCGATACTCCTGCTTTTGCGTGGGATGACTTATCTACCCCGCTGTAGCAGTGGATATACCTTTTCAACTTTTCACATCCGTTGCCCTTCTTTTTGGTTTCCGAGAGTATTGTTACGTCCAGCTTTCTTTCTTCGATTTCAAGTAACACTTCTTGTTGCTTATTTCTGAAGCCTTGAACATTCCATGTTCCAATATTCATGTACCTTTTTCTTTGCAATTTTCGTTGTCCAAAAATCTGATCTAACATCCGAGGCCTATTTCTAGGGTTTTTAGCGTATCTTTTAATTTTTACATGAGTAGGTTGCTGGCCTACTGCACAACCCCCCTCTTAGGAGGACCGGCAACATTTAATAAGATGAGAAAAGTATTATGTAATAGAGACCTTAGTTTGCAACTCAAAATAAGAATATTACGTTCATATGTGTTTTCGGTGCTGCTGTACAGGGTGGAGGCCTGAACCTTAAAGAAAGAAGTGAACGATCGACTTGAAGCATTCGAGATGTGGACCGACCGAAGAATATTAAAAATAAGTTGGATATACCGAATAACAAATCTTGAGGTCCTCAGAAAAATGACAAAAGAAATGGAAATCATGAATACGATTACGATAAGAAAGTTACAATATCTCGGCCACGTTATGAGAGGGGATAAATATGTGTTGCTACAAACAATAATGCAGGGAAAAATACAGGGAAAACGAACTATTGGAAGAAGACGCATCTCCTGGCTCAACATATGAGAAAATGGTATAATTGCAGTTATATCGACTTGTTCAGAGGTGTAATCTCAAAAGTGAAAATAGCTGTAATGATTATCCACCTCCTTAGAGGAGACGATAACTAAAGAAGAAGAAGAAAGGATATTAAAAATACTAAGCGTAGTCATTAATTTCGTAAGCCGTATATTATTCAATAACAACGAGTGAAATCTTTCGTACGTTAATTTTGTAATTAATTTAAAAAATACATTCATTAGAGATATCATCTAAACAAATTTATTTTGGACAGCACCAACTTCACACAAAACATTTTGCTTATCTTTGTTATCTTGTTCCGTTTTTACCGAAAGCCGCGCCACTATAATGGAAAGACCTTTGCTTGTGTATCGAATTCACGAGAGGTAGAAAAAATGGAAACGGGGAGAAAGAGCCGAAGAAAAGTATTCCGTTACGTATAAAGGTTCTTTGGAATAGCTTTGAAACGGGATTAAATAAGATGAAAGAGAAATCCGGGCCATACGTTAACACAGAGTGAGGCGCGGTAACTTGATATTTATACATCCTGTATCAGATCTCGGAAGGTTAAGAAAACGGCCAGGGCTATTTTAGATGGGCTATTTTATGCTGGGATATTTTTTTCGGCTGTTGCTTTTTAAAGCAGTTATCGATGCTCGATAAGATTTAAATATATTGGTTAATTATTGGGGTCAATACAGTGGCGCCGTTACAGCAAAAATTTAAGATCGTTTTGACGGTTTTCTTGTGATTATTATATGTATTCTTATATACAGTGCTAGTCAAAAGTCCGTTCCCTCCCTCGTATCTTTTGAACGGTTATTGTTATAATAGTGAAATTTGGAGGGAGGTAATAAAAAGACGTAGGCTTCTCAACTAGTCATAACTGGTGACGTAATAGTGACAGAGACACTAACAGCGCCACTGTGACAGATAATTACGATAAAACGGCACGACGAGTAGGAAAGAGATAGCTATCAAACTGGGACTTCTTCAAACAAACCATCTTCCATATTATCAATACGTTCCTGAGAGTATACTTGAGAATGACAACTACAAGCTATACTGGGACCGCACGTTGCTCACAGACCAAACAGTGGCACATAATAGACCAGATCTCATATTAGTTAATAAACTAAAGAGACAAACAACATTAATTGATGTGGCGATACCCAACAACAATAATCTTTGTGTTAAACAAAACGAAAAAATCGCCAGGTACAGAAATCTGGAAATTCAAATACGAAGACAGTGGAGAATGGAAAGTAGCCTGACAATATCTATTATTCTCTCTACTACTGGAGTCATTCCAAAGAACCTCCTAGAAAACAAAAAAGCTAGGTCTGAATTAACGTCTCTACAAGACCATGCAGAAAGCTGTACTACTCTCAACATCCAGATGTGTACGAACATTTTTGGGAGATATTCCAGCATATCAAGTCACCTAGGGCTCGATAACATGGAAAGAGTCCCACCAGAGTTCAATACTTTTGATACCGTAGGTATCTGGGATGAGTGAATATTCCCCTTAGAGGGAGTTTGAACCGTATGGCTAAATCGGGATAATAATAATAATATAGGCATCCCAATCGAAGAGTTATATTATACACATATATGCTTAGAAAATTGAGAGAGCAGTACACCTAATGGGGGCTTACAGTTAATATTCACAAATCCGAGTACTACGATGCAGGATAAAAACCAGAAAGCCTACAAATTAAAATGGGAACTATAAAATCAACTAGAATCTTCAAATACTTGGGAGTAAAAATAATGTCAAAAGCAGGGAGTAGCGGCGAAATACATTCTAGGATTGTCCAAGCAAAATCAGCCACTAGACAGCTTCATGGACCATGGTGGAATAATAAAATAACAAAAGAAAATAAAAGAAGAATTTCTATAACAATAATGGAAAGTATTATCTTGTACGTCGCCGAACTCTTGGGAAATAAATCAAATAAACAAATAAAAAAATTTGGAAATAAACTATTGGAAACAATGTTGCTGCCTCACTGGACTTGATGAGGTGAGGAACGAAGATATGCAGAGAGAAATGGAAATTGATCTAGACATAATAAATACAATTGGAGCCAAAAGACTAAACTGGTATGGACACCTGCGAAAAATGCATGAATATAGATTACCAAAAAATATAAAAAAATAGACTTTCTCCACTAAAAGAAAATCGAAGAGAGAGATTTAAAAACTCAAGGTTGTTTCAACAGAAAACACTGGAAACTAGGATGCGAGCAGTAGAAATCTCACCTAATAATTATATATAAAAAAAGTAACTAGGTACATAATGCAATACGTTTTTATTTAAGATAAATGTATAAAACAATTTAAGTAATATCAGAATAAAAAGATAATAAATACTAGTTATTGTACCATATTGATCCTTCTAAATAACATTTACTTGAGGATCTCTGTAGTATTCCCGCAACCATTCCTTGATTTTACGAACGTGGAAATTCCTAGCATACTTCACATCATCCGTATCTAAATCGTTTTTTCCCCTTAGGTCGTAATGATGAGCCCCATTAGGAATTATTATCGCCCTAACTCTGTCATTAATATTTCCTAAAACGCCACCGCCAGACCAGGGGTCGAGAAGTCCGTTGCTGAAGACTATGTTTGATGCAGCTTCTATAGCCTTGCCACCATATTCAAGAAGTGGTACGTTTAGGTTTCTTGGGCGTACTTTGAACTGTTTGTAACAAGTGTCGGAGTATTGTTGGAAATTCCAGTCGGTATTTTCAAACATGTCTGAGGATTCGGAACACATTGGCATGATCATATCAGTGCAAGACTACAAAATTAAAAAAGAAAAGTAAGTAGAAATTAATATTCTGTAATTTTTTTATTAAGGTTTTGAATGCCTTAAATAATTTACAACAAATAGTTCATTTTTTAATAAAAATCAAGAAATGGAGAAGAAAAGTGATAGTGATAGAAGTTTAAACACTTCAAAAAGTATTTTTGAAGTGTTTAAACATTAAACATATTTTTTATAGCTATGGTGAAGTATAAAAAGCACCACCAAAGGATATCATTGTGGTTGAAAAATTCACAATTGTGCTTTAAGCTATTTTTTAAGATAAAATATCACTTTGAAAAAAAAAAAAATGAACGACTGTACATTAGACTCCATAAAAACACATTAAACAATTTTTTATGGTACGCGTGTCAGAACCCGATTATTTGTTGAAGTTGAAGTAACAGACTTCTGCTTGAACTTTATTTTCAAAGAAATGTTACATCTTATAAAATAGCTTAAAGCAACATTCTACATTTTTTGACCAAAATGTGATATATATATCTCTCTCTCTTTCTGTTTATAAAACTTGACCATAGGTCTGAAGATGGCTTTGTAAGCCGAAAGATCAATTTCCTCAGCTAGGAAATAAGTATTTGCACAAAAATACTTTTCTTTTCCATTATTTGATTTATCCTAAGTATATACAAGAACATTTTTTAATTGTTCTTTTTTTGTTTCTGTTATTTCTGTTTAATATGTAAGTATAGTAAAAAAAATCATTGCCACGTACTGATCACCGTTTCTTAGATAACTGTTTTATATCGCCAGAGATAGTCTTTCACACTATTATAGCATAATCATTTTTAGTAGCTTCTTTTGCTAGTACGTCTTATTTTTATTAACTTGTAATTCAATGTGAGATCAAATCCTTAGAAATTTGACTTTTGAACCAGATTCTTCTACTGCTGACGTTCTTTCTTAACAAGCAAGACTATAGGGCTCTTAGTATAAAAATGAACAATCGTTGTTAACGAGTTTAGAGAATCTGTGATAATGACAAAGGAAGAATGGTTGGTACTTTTGGTATGAAGGAGGGCTTGTAATACTGCATATAATTTCTGTTTTATATAAAAGGAGGCTAACATAAATTTAAATTGGGAAGAGTTAAGTGACAAATGCTGCTCTTACGCCGTTTGCAGATTTGAAGACATCTGCATAAATGGAAAAGCTTTTCCCACAAGTCTCAAGGTCCTCTAAAAATGACTGTGGAATTATATTGAGTGATGTCTTTGATTTGTGATATTAGTAGTGTCATATTAATTTCGGTAACCATGATTAACCAGTGATGGGGAATTTTTACATTTGAAGGAACAACTACTGAGATCATAAAAAGCATCAAGCAGAGAAAGCTGGAGTATTTCGGACATGTAATGAGAGGTCACAAATATAGGTTGCTGCAAAATATCATGCAAGAAAAAATAGCAGGCAACCGCAGTCCAGGAGGAAGAAGAACCTCATGGTTGAAGAACTTGCGAGATTGGTATGGTGTTGATACAAGCATGCTATTTAGGGTGGCAGTGAATAAAATTAAGACAGCTATGATGGTAACCAACGTTCTGAAAGGACATGGTACATGAAGACTTTCTTTGGACGTTTCTTTAAAACTTATTTTTTTATTTTTTAACATTTTTTTTATTATTATTATATTGAAACATTGGGTGGAACTTTTTACTGGCGAATGAAATGCATGTGATAGGCATAAATATTATCTTCATAGTATAAGACTTGGTTCTCCCGTAAGGCATTGGATATCCTGGACGTTCCTAAACTTTCTTTCAGGAATTTACATCGAAATGATACTCTTTAAACTTCAAACCCCAGTAAGTCAATAATTTTAAATGAAACACCTTGTATTTTAAAATTTAAGTCTTCCATATCGTATAAGAGTTTCCTATATCTAAAGTTAATACTTTTGGAGATAAAACATATTTCAAAAGCGAAAGAAAAAACATTACAGGCTAAGTTAAATATAAATTAGTGAAAGATTATACACTGGCTTATTTTATTTTAACTTAATTAATTGTCTTATTATTTATAAGATTTAAAAAAAATAAAGGTAAACATATATTGGATTTAAAAAACAAAAATTCCTTCACAGTCGGGATTCGAATCGCGGTTATTAGAGCCGTAGTACTTTAATGACAGGAGTTAAATGGTCATTTATATTCCTGGTATTAGCTGATAATCTATTTTGGCTCTAAATAGTACTCAAATAAGAACAGATGAACTGTTTTCTCCAGAATTCATTTGCAAATGAAATACTATTACCCTCAAAGTTACACCTTCAAATTTGAAGTTTCCATTACGCTTTTCTAAAAACATTTGTCGATCGCACTTTCATAAATTTATTAAAAGTAAAAGTGTAAGGTAAAAAATAATGTGACGTTCACAATTTATTAAATTAATTTAAAAGAAAAGTCAAAGGTAAACAAATACATAAAGAGGAAGCTTTGATACGATATAGACGCTATGTAAAGCCAAGGTGAATTTATCGTATATTCAGATATCTGGAACAGTGAGCAGCGATTGAATGTTTAAATCGGAATGTATAATTTGATTCAGTGCATACCACAGCGTTTAGTAAATTTTACGCGCTGATGCTTGTGTAAATTCCATACACCAAAAACATTGTTACCTGTTTCCGAGGCAGGCTGTTTTCAATGCTTAGGAAAGGCTTAAATTACTGGAATTCTATGGACTTTTTCACCTTTATTTTATTGTACCGTTTAAAAAAAACGAGCTGTTCTTAATTTATATAAATATATTTATTTATAAGTTTACAGCACGTAATTATCTTATCAACTAAACTTAACTCATAGAAGATCTGCTTATATATAAAAGTTATCATGTACTAGAACACTCTGGAGCAGCCCAGCTCTAAGTCGCCTGCTTGACGATCTCTCCTGAGCTCGAATAATCTGGAAGCCTTTCGTCATCTCGCGAGGCAACCGTTACACGGACCATGTCGAATGCATGTTCGTAACAGTGCTCCTCTCTTAGATATGAGCGTCCCGATCAGCAACTCTATATGAAGGCCCAGGATGGCGGAATCTACAGGACCCTCCAGCTCTGCATGAAACTCTCAGAAAGAAATAACAGTCTACTGACTTTGAAGGATACGATCTCATCGGGTTAATGCAACACACAGTAATTCGTACGCCGGTTTCTCGAAAGATCACTTCAAGCATGCTTCTGACAATCTTCCAATTCAGATTATATAGCGCATGGCCTATTTTGGCATGGCCATTTTCTTCAAATTAGTTAGAGGACGCCATATGTCATCGTAGCTAGCTCTGTCTGTATACGACTTTCTGGTCACCATATACAGCAAAGATCGAGAACCATCTTCTAATCTCAGTAATCTTCCAACTTTAGGCTGCTGGTTTTTTAACTCGTCCATCAACCGAACATCTTGGGCAACACAGTGGGCTAGAGAGACGTTATGCGGAACGCTAAAAAGATCCTGCTGAACTTCTGTCGTCCCGCCGAATCTAGCACTCTTTCTCTCTGCGTAATTTGACATAAATTTATTAAAGCTTGGTCGCCGGTCATCTTTGATCTCATGTTGAAAGATTCGTGCTTCTTCTGCTTCATTTGAGCGAGCATAAGGTGCAAGACGATTTATGTGAACTACTTTTGGTTTATCTTTCGGCAGTAACCATCAGGTCTGGTCATCAAAATTTTCTTACTATTAACGGGTATTGTTACGTCACAAGTATTAATTAAGCTGATAACATCTTCATGAAACGGCAACTCTTTACCACTGATCTCGAGAACTCCATCATTCACATTTAATGCTGCCCCAACTTTTCTTAATAAATCCATCCCCAATATGAACTTGTCGGAGATCTCTGCAATTAATACTCTATGTTTCACTGTGGTCTGGCCAATAAATACTGACATATTAGCCTCGCCATATACATTAATTATCTCACCAGTTGCTGTTCTAAGCTTTACTGTTCTTCTTCTTCTACGAGCCCAAAATGAGCCTTGGCCTCCTTTATTTTTTGCCTCCACCCTTGTCTGTCTGTGGCTGCTCTTCTCCATACACGGACTCCTAAAAGTGCTTGTGCGTCGCTGCTTACTGTGTCTTCCCAGCGCTTTCTTGGCTTTCCAACTGGTCTCTTTCTCTGCATTCTGGCGTTCAGTGCTCGTTTTGGTAGCCTATCCTCTCCCATTCGTATCACATGTCCGGCCCATTGCAATCTTTGTATTCTAATGAAGTCTGACAGGGGTGTTTCCTTATACAGTTGATAGAGCTCGTTGTTATATCGAATTCTGAAGATTCCGTTTTCCCTCACAGGTCCTAGTATTCTCCTCAGTACTTTTCTTTCGAGTGTGTCGAGTTTGTTTTTGGATGTTTCCTTCAGGACCCATGCTTCGCTGCCATAACATGCTATTGGCCAAATTAAAGTTTTATATATTCTCATCTTTGTATTTCGGTGGACACTTTTAGACCAAAATATATGGGAGAGGGCAAAATAAGCTTTGTTTGCCTGCATTATCCTTTTTCGTATTTCTCCATCCTCTGCTCCATCGGCATATATTTCTACTCCCAGGTATGTAAACTTTCCAACCGTTTCAATGTCATCTTCATGTATAATGTTCTGTGGGATTATATTTCTTCTCGTCTGTACCATTATTTTTGTTTTTTCTGTGTTAATTTCCAGACCTAGCCTTTTCGTTTGTGTTTTTAACTCTGCGTATGCTTCCTGTGCTCCTGTTGATGTTCTACTCATAATATTAATATCATCGGCGTAGGCAGCCAGTTGAACCGTTTTATTGTTCAGTAGGTTTTCTCGTCCAGTTTTGCATTTGCCTAACCGCATACTCCAGTGCCAGGTTAAACAAGCTTTGCTGTTGCAGGCGATAATTTAAGATGGCCTCGTACTACTTTTGGACGTGTAGTAGTTCTTGTTGCATATGTATCTACCAAAAACGATCTACATTGATTATTGATACGACTCTCGATGTACAAGCTATGAATTCTACCGAAGGACGTCTTGTTCACAGTTACTATGGGGGCTGTGTTTCTCGAGCTAATTTCTGAATTAATGTCAAATTTATAACCACTGTCTGTTCTGATATTTAGATGTCAACCAAGTTATTACAAAATATCAACATTGAATTTGAAATAAATTTGTTACGTCCGACTTCCATTTTTTGTTACCTAGTTGTGCTTTTGATTGTCTGCAACACAGTTGGTTTGAATTTTATCTTAAAGAGCGACACCAAATAGTTAAAATGAAAAATACCTTTAAAATTTCAATTTCTGGTCCGATTGTTAATAAGAATGGATTACCACAGGGTTCCATATTGGGCCCGATATGATATATATTATAGTCAAATAAACTATCTATTTATCTATCTGACCTGCGGATTTGCAGACATTGGTTTTTTTGTTGCAGAATTTTGTTGCAGAGTGAGTATTTAAAACTCACACTGCATCTAAAATCCATTACTAATATTTAACCATCGAATTAAAAATAGTTGATAGAAATATATTAAACAGTCTCATTATTTTGTGGAATAAAATATTATTACAAAAAACTACTATAAAATTATTACCTGGAAATTCCAACCCTCATCACTAACACTAGGTGACGTCACATTTATATTATTGCATTTCGCTGTTTTGGTATAATTAGTATATATTCCCAATGCATCAACAACTGCAACCAATAAACCATATTCTTCATTCCATTTGTGACTATTAAGTTTATTGCAAAATTCTCTAACAGGATAAGCAGGCAAATTTACTAAGAAGCTGTTAGGGTAAGGATAATTAGCCATCGCCATGTTAACTAAAACTTCTGCTGCCCAATCTATCAGTTGATCTACGTCAGCTTGAGTTTTAATTGGGGAGCACAGGTTCCACGTAGATGTTAAGTTTGCTTTACCCTCGGGAGTTTTAGTAAAAGATCTAAAATAGAAAATGACAAACTATAGTAAAAAATATTTAAATTTAGTACAAATATATAAATTATAGATACGTATCTTGTCCAGTTGCTCTATATGCATACCTGGGTAAAAAATTAAAAATATTGCTATATAAACTTCTGATTAACATTCTCTACAGGAATTATTTTCTTCATGGAAAAAAGTAATTAATAGAACTCTATATATAGTTGTAATTCCAACTACTTGAAGAAAAATTACTTCTGTAAAGAGTCAATCAACATACTATCAGTTATGTGTGATACTAATTTCAAAATGTTGGTGTCTTGTACCAGCTTGTATACCTAGGTCCAGCAGATTGGTACATGTCGTTAGAGTCTTTTTGCAGTCTACAAAAAGTGTTTTCTGCACGTCATCTAGTACTTTGTAGTTATGCAACATATAAAATACTGTTTAAGGTTCTTTGTAACACAGTCTGTAGTTTTTCTCCATCAAACGATCCCATTGTATGCAGGTTTTCTTTGTTCTTTGACTGGAGAATGCCTAGTAAGAAAGCCTTTTGATATAATTTAATATATTGATGATTATTACCAAAGTGAAAATAAGCTCTTAAGTTAAGAACAATGCATGCAAAGCAATGCATTTACTGACTAATATATTGATGATTATTACCAAAGTGGAAATAAGCTCTTAAATTAAGAACAATGCATGCAAAGCAATGCATTTACTGACTAACGTCAAAAGTACATGCCAAAGTCAAAGTACCATGGAACAATGTATATAACAGTTGTGATAAATCCAATGAGTACGTCTGACTAACATTAAGGTAGTCACTGCTCTTCTGATTATTTGGTATGTCTTCTGATTTCAATTAAAAAACGAGTCCAATATCATTCCAAGGTAGTTTACTGTACTCACCAGTTTAAGATTTGCACCATTCAGGTCTAAGCAAGTTCTAGAGGTCGATAAAGAAAAGTTCCTTAGGTTGGTAAATTTATGTTTTCGTTATTTCACTACTGTTCTACTATTAACCACACTTAGAGCCAGTTTCATTTTATCTCCGTATAAGACCCATTGTCTATTCCACTGGTGTTCAGATATTTCTCCTGTAAGTAATAATCCTTTAGTTATTAAGTTAAATAGTTAATATTTTCTTTCTTCTGTTATTCCAACATCAGTCGGTGATCCATCTGCCTTAAACTAAATTAAATTCTAATCCTGCTCTAAATCGTATCCTAATTCTTGCCATCTTAATTTCTGTTTATTAAACAATCAACCATCAATCTCTGTATCTCTGTAAAGACTAAGGCTGTAAGTAGGTCACCTGTGTGCCTTGGACATAATGTCTGTCTTTGCTGAGTCTAGCTGACAACTTATTTATGACCAGAATACACAAGAGAAAAGATTCCCCTTTAGACAAACTTTGACTTCGTATTATCATGCAATGTAACCACCTGGAGCCAGTTATTTTTATTATTTTTAGCCAAAATTTGCCCTAAATGGGGAATGTCCTATTATTATAAATATCTCCCCTACCAAATAGGGAACAATCATATTTAAAGTCTCTGTTACGCAGACAATGCAATATTCTTCTTCTTCTTATTCTTTTTATTTATAAGCAATTTTGCTTGTTCATTGGCGGACTACTACCTCTATGAAAGGTTTTAACTCCATCTTATGCGCAGTCGTACGATACTTCTGCCGATCAGTGACTTATCTCTTGCTATTTTGACGACGCGCGTCTCCTCCATTTTGCTTAGGGAGTTGTTCCATTCTTTTTTATATTTAGTATCCATTCGTTTATAAACTGTACGTTACATTTTGTCTAATGACTTCTTTTCTCTTTCTATCTCTTAGCGTGTTTCCTGTAATTCTTTTCAGTACTCTCACTGTTGCCGTTTCCAGTAGCCTTTGTGTTGTGGCTTTGTCAGGTCTTAAGGCATATGTCATTATTGGTCTTACGCTATATTTATAAATTTTTAACTTCATCTCAGTTTTAATGTGTATGTTTCACCATATAGTGTTATTAAAACATCCTACCAGTCTATTTGCTTTTTGCACTTGATCCTTCACTTCTTTGTCCAGGTCGCTATAGATAAACAGTCCACAAATGTCCACAAAAAGTGGTCTACAAATATCCGGTTTTGAATATAAACAAAAAATGTACTATATTATATGTGTGTATGTGAATAAAAATCTCTGTATTATTTAGATATCAATAAAAAAAAACAATTTCTTACCTTATTGCTTTCCAAACATTTGTAATGCCATTTGTACATTTATCTGTTCCGAAGCTTGCATATACACTAGTAGTAATTCTGTTAAATATTTCGCAGGAGGTGAGTCCTCCCAGTTGCCAAATTGGAGCAGAGCTTGATATTGCTCCCAACACAGAACTAGGATACTTCATTCTTATCCAACTTGATAACATCCCGCCGTACGAACCTCCGAATGCTATGACTGGAAGATTTTTTTCTCTTTTATTATAAGCATATTGTTCCTGCAATGCTTCTATGACATATACAAAGTCTGCCAGTGCTTGCTGAGACGAAAGATACCCCAACTTGTCGATAGATGAGTAAGACTGATTGCCAAAGGGTAATGACTCGCCATAATATCTAAATTACATAAAAAATTATGTACAACATTAGCACTTGGGATAAAAAATGTTAAAATGTTTAAATACAATTATGAGGTAATGATCCTTATTAGTATTGGAGAAATATAGTTAATCTTGTATGTTGAAGTTAGCTTTATCACTGACCTTGAGTAAGAAAACGATTTAACAGATGATTTTAATGCAAAAATTGAAACAAAAGAAGAGGACGACACACAATATATCAGTCCCTATAGGATAGGCAACAGCAGCAAATGGTTGATGCTCACAGAGGGATCTTCAATGTTCAGTTTAACTATTCAAACAACGAAATCTTATTATAGAAAATTAAAAACAAGATAGATTACATACTCACCAATAACACAAACACATATCCACCAACGTGACAGTACTAAACAAATTTTGTACCGGAAATGTCCATAGATAGGCTAGCAAAATTGATAGCAGAAAAATAGAACACCTATTAAATATTTTATTTAATAAAGTAATCGACAAAGGAAAGCTTCCTTAAAAATGGTACAATTCCGAAGACATTCTACTATTTAGGAAATGAAACAAAGCGAATACCAAAAATTACAGAGCAAAAGCATAATCAACCACCCAACAAATAGGCTGAACTTGTAACAACCTATCGACTAGGCTGGATTCAGAAAATATTTTAGCCCCATAGAACCCTTGCACACCGTAAGAACACTAATAAAAAATTGTGCCGAATATGACATTCCAAATCTTATGGAGTTTGTGGATTTTTAAAAAGCATTCGACTCTATTGTATTTTGGGCTGTGCTAGAATCAAAATGTGCTTTATAAGTAGGTGTGCTTTTTAGGTATTCTTAAAAGTTTTTAATTAAATACTTACAAAATATAATTAAATATTTTACCTGTGTTCAACAAATACAAGTAAGGCACTGAATTGCGGGGCTATGTCGTACATGAACCCTGTGTTCCTTGCGAAATTTTTAATATCACCTTCATTTCCTGTATAAAAAAAAATTGGTCCTCCCTCTTCGTGATAGGTGTCATTGATTAAGTATCTTAATTTAAACTTCGTGTCTTGTGTAAAGCTGCAAAAAAGAATATTGAAAATTTATTGTTATTCGTCTATACATCTGGTATAATAAACTATGTTTCTGGTAGTGGCTGGGTATATTGAGTAGCTCAGAAACTATCAGCGACGGTTCCAAGCTTGGTTAAAGAGTGATGTTTGTGTCAGTATAGGTATCCGGTAGTAAAAACCTTACTAAAACCATGGAGGGAAGGAATATGAAAAACAGTTTAGGATCTAGGTTGTTCTCCGTAAGCGACGCCTAGTTGGGGCCTAGCCTGATCACTGCGAAGAGTGAGCTAGAGCTACCTCTTAGAGGACACAAGTGGTCAAAGAAGCTAGCCCTGAGGAGTATGACAAAAAAAAAAGGAAGAAAGATCTTTGATTTAATGCAAGCATAAAGAATTGGTGTAATTTGTGTGCAAAAAATTCGTTGGAAAGGTAATAAATCAAGAGGTGGAAGCAAGTTATTATACAGTAGTGCGAACAGTTATGGCAGCAACGAAGTAAGTAATATTTTGAACAAAGAGTAGAAGGAAACATCTTGTGAGGGTAAGTAGAAGTGACAGAATATTGTTTGTTTAACTGAATGCAGGCAATACCAACGTGAAATCATATGCGCCTACGCCTCACAGATAGGGTGTGAATTTTGGAGTGCCCTTGAAGGTAGCTAAAATAAAAATGTTACGCTAGTGCCTTTAGTGCCGCTTGACTGTCAAAAAATATATGGATCTGTTTTTCAGTAATTCCCTAATTCGTGGATTATTGGAGTATATTCATGCGCCTTACACCCTCTGTAGTTTTGCATCTATCTGTATACAAGATTTTACTCTGTTATGGTACTTCTTGTTTCTGTTGTGTTTCTCCATACATTTCTGTATGGAATAGACACCCTATATGAATTTCTAAAATTGTATTTTTTGTCATGTGATCTAGTTTCTCATTAAAATATCCTATATTACAATCCTTGTGATACTCATATTACAAGGATTGTGACGTCCCTGTGAGGGTCCTCTACCTTCATTATAAAGTTTCAGTGATTATTTTATTCTGTATGCTCCCAATCTTGCTGCTCTTTGTATTATCAAATGCAAGGGAGGCAGGCCTAGTAGAGACTACATAGCAGCTGTTAGAGTAGTACGCATGGCACCAGTTATCCCCATACACGCAAGTCTTAGTGTTAGTCCACTACATCATCGTTGCATAGGTAATTGAGGGTTAGATTACCATGAGATACACCCAATGTACCATGTCCAGTTTTAATCCCCATTTCTTCTCGTACATACTCCTGACTCTCGTAAGTATTGTAACTGCACTGCTTGTTTTTTATTGCTGGTTTGGATGATCACTGATACTCCATGTTGTGGTCTCTTTTTTATAGGAACCATACTATAGAAGCGATCATATTTTCCCCATCTTCCTGATCGTCTGTCTTTTTTCTTGGGTTCTATAAGCACTAAAATATCAATATATTTATTTTCTTTGTAAGGCTCTGTACATTACATGTTACACAATTTGTACTTTTTTCCGTAGCTTAGTCAGTCGTAAAGGTTTCTGTCTGGTCCAAGCCTTTTGATTAAGTTTTTTAGCAATATTTTTTTCCGTAGGGCACAGGGTTGAACTGTGGTCATAATTTTCCTCCTTTTTCGTTAAAAAAAAAGGATAAAGTCAGTTTGGCCGGGCTTGGAAAAACTTTATTTCAATAGAAAAACAAGGCCAAAAATAGACCAGTCCAATTAGCAATTATCAACCTCAAGAAGGCATTGGGTCTTAATACGTAGAACTAAATGAATGGAAGCAACAAACGGTATTAAACTTTCACACAAAATTAACAAATATAGTAAAAGGCTCTACAATGTAACTATTAAACTCAAAAAAAAACAATTTCCAATTAAGATAATAAAAGGTCTGCTACAGGCCTGGTTTACAATCCGAGCTTTGTTAAATGGTACAAGAGTAAGATGAACTTAGTTTTAGGATCACGCATAAGAAATGAGATCTAAATAAACCTAAATAAAACAACTTAGTAAACAACAGAAAGTATTGAAATAAGAGAACTGGATAAGGAGGCCTAATGTTAAAAAGAGCAACAGCTGAGGAAGATATAAATAGGCTAAGACAAATACGAAACTGTAAAAACAAACTGGACCAGTGTTATGAAAAAACCATTACTAGAACAGCAAGAAAGATCAAGAAGAAAAACAAATAGAAAATAAAACAACAGGTAAGTTGTAGGGTCACAAAAAAACAGAACAAAGAAGTTACATGCAAATATATAGGGATGAATAATATGCACAGAGAGCCCTTGAAAAAGAGCAGATTCATATACTGTCTGACAAAAAAGCAGCACTGAAAGCACTGAAGGCACTTAGGAATAAAAAGTGCATAAAAAAGCTGAATCAACTGGGAGTCCAGAGCAAGATTGAGCTTGTCTGGGTATCAGGGCATTGAACACAACGAAAAAGCAGATCAACTTTCTAAAAGAGAAACAAACGAATCAAACAGATTGGGTGTAACTCTGAGAGTACAAAATCCTCATTACGTAGGGCTGTACAGGACCGGTTCCGAGGAGGTCATTAGAGATATTGGGAGACAATTTCAAAACAGACACATGTCAAAATCTTCATTGGTGGACAATGTACAAATATAACAGAGGAAGTGCTCCATATGGGCACAAAAAAACTGAGAAAAATAACAAGAATGTTGACCGGAAATTCATCAGTAACAGACTTACTGAATAAAATAAGCATTTACTATGAAGACCTTAATTGCACACTTTGCAATAAGGAACCAAAAACTGTAAAACATGTATTATGCAATTACGAGGTGCTCGACAAAAACTATATGGGCAACCAAGAGGAGCCTCTGGTATGTTTAGGACACACCAAGCAAAAGACCTTTACAAACTTCTACAGGGAACAAAAATCCTAGACAAGGCGAAGGGAACAAAAATCAGCAGCAAACACATTAAACTTTAGCTTCAGTGGTACCAAAGATTCTTTGAATCAGACGGGCCTAGAGAAGAAACAAAAATTATTCAGATATAATCGATTATATAAAGAAAAAAAGGTTAAATTGGTACGGATATAAAGAAATTGAAAAATACAGAAGAAAATAGACCATAAAGTCTTCAATACCCTAAAGCGCCAAAGTTACTTTAAAATTAAAACTATATCTACACTATATTTACCATTTATGAAATATCTTCTCATTATAGCACAATAATAAATATCAATCGTGTTTTATAGTTTGAAAAACTTAATGACTTTAATTTATAACAACTATTTTTTGTTGTGCATTGTTAGTAGGCATATAATAATTATTTTTCTTACCTAAAGTGATCTAAAGGCACATCAATATACTTTGTTTCGAACAAATAATTATCTTCTGCAAGTACAATGGCTAAAACACCGACAAGCCAAACAATTTCCCGCCGCATTGTTGAGTAGAGGAACACTAATTAGACTATATTAAATCTAATCGCTGATGTTGACCTTCGTTATCATAACCGAGCCCCCATCTTTGGCTTATATTAGAAGCAGACCCGATAAACAGATGATGGTGCAGTGTTTTAAATAAAGGGACAGATTTATCTTTATTAAAGTACTTGGAATATCGCATTTGCGATCGGCTTTAGATTATTTTATTACAATCAAAGTAAGCATAATTTGTAATCTATTTTTTAGTGTATAAAAAAGTGAGTGTTTATTGAGATAAAAAGGTATGATTAGACAAAAAATAAAATAAACTATGATTACTATTTTTTTCTAATTAAAACAACAACATCGGTAAACAACCTGACTAAACTAAGTATACAAACAATAAAACACTGACGAGAAAATATTATTTTTTTGTTGCATTACTTGTTCTTCTTCTTCTTCAAGTGCCGTCTTAGTTCCGAAGTTTGGCTATCATCAAAGCTATGCGTATTTTTGATGCTGCAGATCTAAACAGTTGGTAATTGGTGCAATTGTACCATTCTCTCAAGTTTTTCAACCATGAATGCCTTCTTCTTCCTATAGATCTCTTTCCCATTATCTTTCCCTGTATAATCAATTGCAGCAACTGGTATTTATCTCCCCTCATAACATGTCCCAAATATTGTAGTTTGCGCTTTTTAACAGTAAGTATCAGCTCTTTACTGCAACAACAACTTTACTTTTGCAATACATATAACTGATGACCGCGACCAGTGGAGAAATATTATCAATCAAACTGTCCGAGCTGCTGAAGCCCAATTATGAACCACAACACATCTACTAAGATGTTAATGACTGTGATGATGTGATCAGCTCTTTCTCTTTCCGCACTCTCCGCAAAACCTCCACATTTGTTACTTTCTCTGTCCAGGGTATTCTTAATATTATACGATACATCCACAATTCAAATGCTTCTATCTTTTTGGTATCGATCTTTTTCAATGTCCATGTTTCCATACCGTAGAGGAGAACTGACATAACGTAACATCTCAAAAGGCGAATTTTAAGTTTTAGACTTAGATCTCTTCCGCAGAACACCTTTTTCAATTTAGTAAATGTGGCTCTAGCTTTCTCTATTCTGGTTCTGATTTCTTCAGAGCAATCATTATTTTCGTTGATAACAGTTCCCAGGTAATTATATCTTCTTACACGTTTGATTCTTTGATTATGCACGGTTATGTCAGGGAAGTTTTGTGGTGATTTAGATATTAGCATTATTTTTGTTTTGCTTATGTTAAGTGATAAGCCGTGTTCTTTACTGCATTCTACTATTTTGTTAATTAGTATTTGAAGATCTTCCCAAGTTTCTGCGATTAGTACCGTGTCATCGGCATATCTCAAGTTGTTTATTCGGATGCCATTTATCTTAATACCTATATTTTGATCCGAAAGTGCTGTGTTTACAATGTCTTCGGAGTATAGATTGAATAAGGTCGGTGAGAGTATACAACCCTGTCTTACGCCTTTCTTGATCTCGATTTCCTCCGTTGTCTCTTTCATTACTTACTATTTTATAACTTCTTCTTTTATTCTCTGTATATTATTGACTACGCTGCTGTTGGTAACTATTTTTGAATCATATGGTCTCAAAATGCACGTTAATTCTCCAATAAGAATCTTAAAAACATCATCCTCGACAATTGATTATGTGCTTTCTGATTTTCCACCCCCGCTGACGTCCATTCTACAGTTCTTAATTTATTAAGTTTAGCAGTTTATTATTTTAAATTCTATAATTCATGCTTGACTTCTGATTGGAGTTTTTCTTCTGGGGACATTGACTGTAATGTTAGTTATCTCTGATTGTATCAATAAGTACAGAAAATGCTATCTAAAACTACTCAAAGTAGCCAAAAAATCTTACTTTCATAATCGCCTAACAAGCTCCAAAAATATCTTAAAAGAAACTTGGTCAATGATTTTCGAAATAAAAACCAGTGCAGCGAATCAAACTTTTTCTTCTCCTAACCCCGAAAATCTAAATGATTACTTTGTTAATGTGAGTAAAAATATAACCTCAACTATTTCGCCACAACAAGATCCAGTTTCCCATCTCCCTAATTCAAAAAACATTGCTGATACGTTCTTAAGACCACTTGATAATACTGAACTCGTACTGAAATCGTCCTGTAGTACAGATGGATTATCTATTAAAATTTTCTCAAATCTTCCGCATAATGTTTTGGACGTCATAGTCTCGCTAGTAAATGATGCCCATGAAAAAGGTACATTCCCTAACTGCCTAAAGACTGCCATCGTTATTCCTCTTCATAAAGGTGGAGAAAAATCTGATGCCTGCAACTATAGACCTATTGCCTTGTTACCAGCACTATCAAAAATTATTGAAAGGCTTTTAAAAGTTCGACTTATGCCCTTTCTCCTTAAACATAATATTTTATCGCAAAATCAGTTCGGCTTTTTGTCTAATAAATGTACTAGTGATGCCATATTTTCTGTGTTACATAAGGTATATCTATCACTAAATAGTAACCTCTCCTTTGCCACCGTTTTCAGCGACTATTCCAAAGCCTTTGACTGTGTAAATCACGACATTCTATTAAAAAAATTAACTTTCTATGGAATTCGGGGTGTGTCTTTGAATTGGTTCAAAACTTACTTGGTAAGTAGGAAACAATTGGTTAGAATAAAAGACACCGACTCTAGTTGTAAAGATATTGAGTGTGGAGTACCACAAGGTTCAGTATTAGGTCCCATTCTTTTTTCACTTTTTATTAATAACATCACTTACCTACTTGAAAATTAAAGGGAAAATTTTTCTATTTGCTGATGATACCAGTATTACTTGGAGCAACTCTAATATTTCAACGCTTCATTCAATTATAACCGCTGATTTGTTTATAATCAAGGCTTGGTCAGACTCCAACTTACTTAGATTTAACGTGGATAAGACAGTAGCATTATCTTATAAAGGAGTCATTCAACCCTTGCTTTTGAATGAGACCCAAATCAGTATCGTTAATTCCGTAAACTTTCTAGGTATTCTTATCGACAGTGATCTTAAATGATCCTTGCATACTGACTCCTTAAGGAAGAAACTAGCCTCAGCTTGCTTTGCAATAAGATCTGTTTCGAAGGAATTAAATTTATCTTCTGTCAAAATGGCATATTTTTCATTGTTCGAGTTCCATCTTCGATATGGGCTTTCATTTTGGGGTTCTAATACAGCGACTCAATTTGATACTATTTTTAAGTTGCAAAAAAGAGCAATTCGTTATCTATTTGGTCTCAAACCAACAACTCATTGCAAGATCTACTTCAAAAATCACGGAATTTTGACGCTTTCCTCTTTATTTATTTTGGAAACGGTTTGTTTGATTCGCAAGCATCTAAACATTTTCCTCGATAGACCTGATCATGCTTACTCCATTAGAAATTCGGATTGTAACGTTTATTTACCGATCCTGTCCATTCAGCAGTAAAGAATTCTATTCTATATAGTGCAAAAAAACTATATAATCACCTTCAAATTAAATCGGCAACATCTTTCATTAAGTTTCGTAAAATGACAAAAATCTATCTGTCTGAAAGACTACATTATTCAGTTGACGATTTTCTTAGTGTATAACAAAGAAACAAAATTAGTATTGTTTATAATTACATTTGGGTGTCTCAAACAGTGGCTACAATTTGTTTCATTTGTTGTTGTCTGTACAAATTATATAAGTTATACAATAATTTTACTAATTTAAAATTGTATTGTTCTGTTTTTTATTATATTTGTTTTGTTTTATACTGATTTTTTTCAGCTTTGTCCATAAAATTGTTCAATAATTTTCAGTGACAATAAAGCATATTTTTATTCTATTATTCTATAAGTAAATTGCCGCTTTTTCTTCGACGTCTTCCATTCTCTTTTTTTTCCTTGCTCCTATTCATTAATTAATGTTGTTAATTCTGCATGAATCTCTAATTTCATTACTCATTGAGTACTCATTAGTTATTAGATACAATAATTATTGTCAAACTATTGGCTGACATCAGGAAAGATGTTCCCAGAAAGAAAAAGTTAATTACCTGCCATTTAGGGTCGGGTTACAAAAAATTACCTTAGATATATCGTCAAAGAACCTTAAGGACAAAATGACAAATACCGGTATGGATGTCAAGTCCAAGAAACCATGCAACATCTTGCCGGTGGCTTCCAAGCATCTACTACAAATGAATACACGGAACGCATAATTTAGTAGGGAAAATCCTTTATCAAGAAATAGGTGTAAAACTAATACTTCTTCTAATACTCATACTACTAATATTACTACTAATACTAATACTCTAAGCAAACCATGCATGGATGTTAATCAGCCAGTATATATGTGTTTCTTGGATTGCAACAAAGCCTTCGATAAGATCAGCCATAACCGTCTTATCGAATTACTTGAAAAGAAAAACTTAGATATGAGAGACATCAGGATCATTAGCGCTATCTATTCTAATAAGATTGCTGTGGTAAAAAAGCATAACGTCTTTTCAAATGAAATACAGATTGAGAGGGGCGTCAGGTAGAGCTGTGTCCTGTCTCCTACTTTGTTTAATTTGTATTCAGAGGAAATAATCCAGGAAGCACTAGAAGAACTAACTATGGGAATAAAATTAAATGGCCGACCAATCGATAATATACGGTTTGCCGACGACACTATTTTATTAGCGGAATATCTTGAGGATTTACAACAAATGGATGACAGAGTGGTATAAGTCAGTTAAGAAAACTGACTGCCCCTAAACACAAAAAAGACACAATTTATGGTAATTACAAAAGCCCAACAGCGCCAATAGAACATAACAATACATGGAAAACAAATTAAGAAAGTTGAAAAATATAAATATCTGGGTACAAAGAGATTAAGGCAAGAATAAGACAGGCAAGAAATTCTTTCAACAAACTGAAAAAAGTACTCTGCAGCAGGGACATTTCAATTTCTTTAAAGATAAGACTTCTGAGATGCTACGTGTTCTCCGTATTATTTTAAAGGATGGAGGCTTGGACTTTAAAGAAAGATGTTTCGGACAGATTGGAAGCCTTCGAGTT